GTCTTTACACTCTTCGGTCTTCACCCGAGGAGGCCTTCACGCGACCACTGTCGCAGTAAACTAAGCTTTTTTTATACCCGTCTAACAAAATACTAAATTAAACTTTTTTTTTTTTTTACAACAAATGGCCAAGCAAGCGCAGACACTGACAAGATACGCGATACAGAATGAGACCAAACGCGATATCAGCACGTCTTCACACAGTAAACAAAACAAAACTAAGTTAATGATACAGAATAATACTAAAATATATAATACTAATATTATAATACTAAATACTGGAATAATACTAGTAAATTAATACACTGTTGTAATAAAAATTCAAAGCCAATACAATGGATACATTTTTAGACCAAATGACCAATGGTATGTGAGCATTGGTTGGAAAATAAAACCCACTGACAGCCAAAAGTGGGTAAATTTCCCATGATGCATATTTGGAAAAGATATTACAAGAACAACAGTAGATAGTAACGGTTCAGTGGGATGTGGTTTCCAGCAGACTAGCAGTCAGCCTAGAGATGCATGAGAGTTTTGGACAAGTTACAATTTATTAATTCATTTCTGTATTGTGTCTGTATTTTCTGTAAATTCTAATTCCTTTACTAATTACTGATCACATTCACATCTCTCCACCTCTTAGAATTCCACTGTAAGTGCATTACTCCACAGACGTTTATCCTTTGTTTTTACAACCTGATGAATGAGTCAAAATGATTGACTGTGGTAATCAACAATAAATGACAGATGTTCACCACAAATTTTGTTTTGAACCACATTCATTTAACAGCATTTTATAGGAAGCATAATTATCGAAAATGAAAGAGTTGTAGTGTACTTTAAATTGCTTGGTACTTGGTCAATTACTAAAAGCAAATCTCATACTATAACGATAGTTTCTTACTATCTTTTTTCTTTCATTTTTTTAAAATTATATGAATAGATTTATGCATATACTGTACATATTTTACGCATTTATATTAATCCTTAATTAACTATATTGATGTTTTTAGTATTATTCTGTATCATTAACTTAGTTTTAATAATATTGCTGAAAAATGACAGTGGAAGCAGATGTTGAAAAATAAGCATTTCATTCTACTGTTCTGATGCTTTCTGCCATGCTTGCATAGCTTGTCTCTTTGTTTCTGTTATGCATGGGTCCCAAATGTCTTCCAGCAATATTTATGAATACTTTCTGTTTGCCAACACAAATTACATCATCAGAATGGGTATTTTGGCTGGAGATAGGCCTGTCACGATAACGACTTTTTGTTGTGGGATATATTGCCCCAGAAATAATTGAGATAAGCTATATTATTGTAATTTTAAAGACTATTTTATGCCACTGAATATATAATCATAATGTAACAGCATAATAATGCAAGAAGGCCTACACACTTCCAAATGACAACAAACTTTTAATTGTTAAGAATATTTAGATCATGGAAATTAAGTATCAAAATATTAGATACCTTTAAAACCTGAATAAATAGTAAATAAACATTTTCTAACAAAAAGTGCAAAGTAACAAGTAGAAAAATGCACAAAGAACTTGTATGGAGATTTTTCCATCTACAGATTTTTCCCTGACCTTCTTTTCTCTGTAAATGAAGGGTGCACACTATTGCTGAAAAAAACAAGCACTACTCGGCAGTCAGATGTCTGTATGCACAAAGACACAGATCCCTAAACAAGACCATATCTGCAGCTGAAACTCTGTTTGTAGAAGCATTTTTTAAATGTGAACTAGCACCTCATGACTACACCAGGTTATGTACGAGAAGCTGCAAAAGACACAAAAAAAAATGGTGACATTAATTTTCAAGTAAATATAATGTGCGTCACCTGACTCAAACTCAAGCGCTTGCAGAGATCGAGCAGCATTTACTACTGACTCTGTGCATATATTCATTTAATAAAAAATCTCAACCTTTGCGATTTCAGTAATCGCATTAAGCCAAATCAAATCATTAAGCCAATTTTGATTAATTGTTTAGCCCTATTCCAGCTTTCAGTACAGTTCAAGATATTGAATGGTCCACACTTGCATCCCCCACAGCATCATTTCTGCTCAAAACTTTGTAACTTTGGATACCCTATTGCATTTAGTAATCATATTGTGCAGCCCAGTTTGGCCAATACAATCTGGCTTGTCAGCATGATGGATTTCTGCCTGTCTGGGAGCAACATCAATCCTCTTTGTTTAAACAAACTAACACTCAAAACCTAACACTGAAACTCAACTAAGACTCATTCAAGGCTTTTGTGTACCTCTTTAACAGTCATGTACTTTAAGTTTCACATTGATTTCAGTTAATTAAATATCTTGAATTCTTTCTTGCTAATAATTACCCATTGCTTGTTGTCCTTGTATTTTGGGTATATGTTAGTTAGTTATGTAGCAACATTATCAGAGGATCATTGTTGTTGCTATATGCGTCTGTTAACCACCTAAATCTTGCTTGCATTTAAATCAAGCTTTCATTTTTTTCAGCTTCCTGTAATTATAGGAATGTTGCAACGCTACAAATGTTCATACTCGACAAGTCAGTCTTAAGAAACCCCTGAATAATAAGGCTGTGGCTTGTCCAATAGACTCCAATCAGACACATTTCTTAGGAATAAATTCATACTAAATCCTTCTAGAGGGTAGCTAACAGATAGGCCTATTCGAATAATTAACGGACTGCCCAAAACTATCTGTGCTTATTAGAAAGGGTCCAACACACAGTGGCACAAAATCACATATGCACTAAAGTTGTGTATCTTAAAACCAGTTAAATATTGGATTCACTAATCAACAAGTCATTTGTTGGATGACTAGTTAACCATATTAGCTCAACCCTACCTCACATGACATTTCCCACTGATGTGATTAGTGCTCTTTGAACAAAGTCATGTCATTGCAGCAGCTGTACGTGCACAGAACTGTAACAGATTTATGTGGGAGAATTCAAAACTACATTTGCATGTATGAAATCTGATTCAGAATTCCTTTTGCGAATTGGAATGCTAGATGTTGTATTCACAGCTGGAAATGATCATCACTGTCATTTTAACAGGTTCCAAACCTGTAGGACTTTCTTTTTCCATGGAACATAAAAGGCCGATGTTCAGGTCATCAGATTGTTAGTGAAAGACAACCTCGAAAACCTTTCACATTAATTTCACCTGTTTTCCATAATTTGCAAATGGATGATGAACTAATGCCGTCGTACTTATTTTGTGGGGCATGGAAGAAAGTCATACAGGTTTGGCATGACGTGGGTTTTTTTTTTTTTTTTTAATTGGATACAAAATATGGAAGAAGACAAAACCGGACAAATATACAACTAATGGCCTAACAAAATCCAGTGGCTGCGTATAATTTAATACATTTTTTAACTTTTTTCATAATCATAAATCATTGATCTTTAAGGCGGCATCATAAACTTTTTTTAATACACTTTTACACAACCTGTTTGTTATTTTAGATGTATTTAACAAATGAACTCACTTGCATTGATCAACCCTTGAAACATGAATCATTAGCTTTACATTAGTTGACTATAAGCTCTATTGTACACATCACCTTATTATTGAAATGCAGCACTGAAAAGTTGTATAACTTGAGAAATATAATTCATGATGATCTACTGATATCCACTGGTATCCATCTTGAGATGATTAGCATTGTCTGATAACCACCACATCGATTAACACAAGTGTGTGCCGGTCCACTTTGTTCATTTCAAAATCTCCTGCCAGCTTTGTCAATGGTTTGTAAACAGTTCTATTTTTTTTATATTTAAGTATTTGAGTAAATGCTATGTATAATAATTTTGCATTCATTTGTAATGAGTCATTGTATCACCCTTAGACCGCCCTGCATTCTAAATGTCAATATTTGCATTGGCCACTGAAAAACCCTTATTGGTCAACCACTACTTCCAGTGGTACAACTCTGACAAATTGTCCACTTGGTTATCGCTTGGTTATGGACATATTTTACAGTTTACATATCTTATAGTGTCTTTTTGAGAATTTCTGACTGTCTATATTACACATATATTGTTTAGAGGCAACATACAGTTCTGCTTGTGGATATGTAGCTACTTTAACTAGACACTTGCTACTAAAGCAATGTTTACGCTTCTCAATTCTGCTTGGATCAGTTTTGCCCTCCACACCGTTAACATAATTTTTTTAAATGTGGCCAATATCAGATTCAAGTGTGAACTGATCACGGTCCTGAACTGACTCGCATATGCAAAAACAATAACAAAAACGGCTCACTGTCATATGGCGGTAAACGTGGAGGCCACTGAAGTCAGCGTTTATGTGTTCATTGGAATCCAGCGAATTTGTGCACTGGAGGACGAAGAAAGGATAATAATATTTAAATATGTATGATATGTACCCTCAAGTTTTGCTAGTATGAGCCCTAACCTGGATACATCGCACTGTCCCTTTACTGTTACGATCAAAGAGCAGGTTAAGATACCTTTTAAAGATAATTTTGTTTCCCCAGTAGATTCAAATTGTCTTCATATCCTCTATTTTAATTTGTATATGCAAATCGATTTTCACATATATTTGTGATGTATCTATAAAGCATGAAGAATGAAGAAGTTCCAACAAATCCAAACTCCAAGATCCGACATCTTTCACTGTTAAGATTTATTTGAACAAGAAGACACAAAAACTCGGGAGGTTCATGCACCCTACATGTCCTTCTGCTTAGGAATGTATGTTGCTGTGTTCGTTTTCTCTGTCATGTCTGTTTCCTTTGGGTTAACTGAAACAACAGCTCTGGCACAGATGCATGCAAACAGAGGAACTGACTTCCTGCTGATATTTAAATGCGGTGTTAAAGGGTGTTGAACTCAACTATAGGGACGGGCCCGATAGAAAATAACCCCCACACACAAACATTCAGCAAACTGTCCGTGTCTGTCTGTTAGTCTATCAGGTCTGGGTTTCAAAAAAATGTGAACACTCTCTGTCTCTGTTCACAGATATTGCAGTGGTTGAACTGACGGATGCATTTCGACAGCCCTCTCTCTTCTATCACTTGGGTGTGCGAGAGAGTTTCAGCATGGTCAACAACATCATTCTTTACTGTGATCTCAACTCCGACTCGCTGCACTCTCTTCAGGTCAGGAAGTCTTTTGTCTCAGTGTCACCAGAGTCCAGAGTCAAATTTAAAATAAAAGAGATTTTTTTCAGCATCTTACTTCATAATCTTCCATTCTGAAACGTAGAGACCAAAATATGGCCAAACTATATCACAATATATTTTTCCCATGTGATACAATATCATTATTTAGCACTATATTCATTTACCTTTGGATGGGGGGAGGATATGCTTTCACATTGCCTTTAGCTTTCCGCAAAGACCTTGAGAATGAATGTAAACAGAACTTGTTAAACTCCACAGAATAAGAAACCTTTTCATTTAGGGCCCGCTGAAATCCATTTAGTTTTTTTCCATTCACTTTCTTAATTTTATGATTGAATACAAATGTATCATCAAGTATGGTGTCTAATGAAACGAGTTAATGAAGTTTTAACAGTTTGATCAATCTTTTAAAATGTAATTAAATGAAAATATATTAATTTACAACAAAACTTATTATCACTGTGAGAAGTACATTTTAGTACACAGTAGTACTGTATTCCATGTGTCATAATTTCTTCAAGTTAATCCAAACTTTTGGCTGTAGGGAAGGCCTACAGAGTTTCTGTGTGTGAGTGACCATAGTTTTTCTCGAATGAAACGGTGAAAAGCTGGTAAAGTGGCAGCTCTGGAGTTGAAGTTCATGTGATCATCTATTCATATATTGAGGCACAGATGTTAAAATCATTGTGAGCGTCACGTGTTTGAGTTTGTGTTGTAGACAAAACTGCCTTTACTCATTCACACAAAGACATGCAGACTTACTAGCCACATGCACTGAATGGTTGTTGTCATGTTTATTCCTGCTGTGTTAGATTAATCCATATTGATTAAAAATGTCCAGAGCTTATCATCTTTGTCCATATAAATTGTATCGCAATCTCAATATGATATTGTTCATCGCCCAGCCCCAATGATCACCAAATATTGTTTAAATCCAGTCTTTAGATTCCAGATCTGCTTACTCTTGACATTCTCATCATGAGCTGCGTTCTGGAATAAACCGTTCAAATGTATGCTCAACACCTGTTGATGCGTTCCCTTACTATCAGCATTTGTAAACAACATTTTTGAATTAAAAAAATATACGTAATAAGTAGTTTTGCAAAGTCATACAGGTATGTAGACATTATTTATATCTGTCTACAAAACTAAATGTAAACCTTTAAATGCCTTTTCTATCAAAAGGTTACTAATATAATGAAAAATATAAGTTGTGTTAACTGTGTCCAAACCTTTGACTGGTAGTGTATTGCTGCATCAGGTGACCATGGTTTGGCCAAGTAGGACATTTTCCTGGATCAGAAACAACATTCTAAAAGTACAAATACACTAATTTCATCCCCAATGCTTCCTATGCTTCAAGTAGTGGAAAGCACTTTTGTAAAATATTGTTGAGGAGAAATAATGCAAGTCCGATTTTGTAGCACCTGAGTGTGAGACTCTACACATATCAGTCTTATAGAAAACGCTGCTTTATACTACATATAGCATATAACAGCAAGAGCAACCAACAACACAACACTTTGTTGATATTGATCCAAGAATGTCAATTATGTGGATATGTGTAGATAAACAAATAGCTTTGGTGTGAGGTGACAGCCATTATAAACAAACTTCATGCATCTAGGCCGATAAATGGTGCCAAGTCCAAAAACATTTGGACTGAATAAGAGCCAGGAACTGATTGAGTGCCATAAAATCTAACCCTAAAATCTGATTAGTTGATAGGATGTTGATAAAGATCCATGTCTTGCTTGGCAAAATCAAAGTAAGCAACTGCATCATGGTGTGTTGCACATAGGCTACATTTATAGTATTATAGATTTACACACATTCTAATTCAAATGTGTATTGGGCTAGTACAAGGAACGCTCAGTGTTGTGAGCAAAAGGGTGCTTACACATTTATTGGATGGACACAAATTATTAATACAACCCACATTATTTGCAGTGGATCGCTTAATATAACAGCAAGAGCAACCAACAACACAACACTTTGTTGATATTGATCCAAGAATGTCAATTATGTGGATATGTGTAGATAAACAAATAGCTTTGGTGTGAGGTGACAGCCATTATAAACAAACTTCATGCATCTAGGCCGATAAATGGTGCCAAGTCCAAAAACATTTGGACTGAATAAGAGCCAGGAACTGATTGAGTGCCATAAAATCTAACCCTAAAATCTGATTAGTTGATAGGATGTTGATAAAGATCCATGTCTTGCTTGGCAAAATCAAAGTAAGCAACTGCATCATGGTGTGTTGCACATAGGCTACATTTATAGTATTATAGATTTACACACATTCTAATTCAAATGTGCATTGGGCTCGGTGTACAAGGAACGCTCGGTGTTGTGAGCAAAAGGGTGCTTACACATTTATTGGATGGACACAAATTATTAATACAACCCACATTATTTGCAGTGGATCGCTTGGACATCCAACAGTTTCATCACAATGATCAACTGTAGGTTTTTATTACCACAGTTAATTGTATGCAGGCATTATTGTCATGGAGATCCTCCTGGCAAGGTCACACACCTCTATTATTACTTTACATTACTAAATGGAATTATGCCAGGTGAGTGGGGAGTAAATTGCATAATATGAGATATATTTAGATGAGCTCTTTAAGGCAGAGGTTTTATTACTAGGCAGAATTTAGTGGAGGATGGTGCTTGGCTAACACACGCACACAGAATTGCACAGTTTCAGAAAACACTCTACAATATGCATAGATACGTGTTTTTACCAGTAGCATGCTACATTGTTGTAATAGTGTGATGTTATTACAGTGCATGTTTAATTCAGCATACCCACTTAATCTTAAATTTAAAAAAAGCAGCTACGAACGGAAATGCAGAATGAGCATTCATTTGAAAACGTCATAGTGTTTTCACTCTTAAGGATGTCAACCAAGCAGTGGCTAACTTTTTGTTTTTCTGGAATAGGAGAAAATATTTTTAAATAAAAAATGACTTTTAACAGTTCCATAACATAATCGGACAAGAAAAAGGTACTTCAAGTTATAGTTATCACTTTTGATTTATTGTTGTCAGTGGAAATGGAAGGCCAAATTGAGCAAAATGCACCTTGCATACTCAACAGAAACAGAACATACTAAAGAATTAGTGAAACCAGTATAGTGTTCTGAACATGGTCACTCAAACACACACACACACACACACACACACGGTTATTCAGAATGTTCAGATACAGGCAATGTTCCCTATAATTTTTTTTCTTGCTGAGCAAAACTTTTCTCTATAGACCAATTCAGAGTAGACGTCACAGTTACGTCACTTGCAGCTGCGCGCGCATAGTGGTTGCAGAAAAACACTGGGAACAAGTGGAGGGAAATGGGTAAAATCCATGGAATAAAAGAAAAAAATATTTTTGATGTCAAGATCGGAATGCAAATAATTTTTATAGAATACCGTCGTCAAAGACGCCATTTGGAGCTAAACGCAGACGTCTAAATGGACATACTATGGATGAAAACTGCTATAATTACTCTACTTTTAGAGCATAAATTCGATTTAAACAATAGGTCTACATAATATTCACATATGCTGTTCATAGGGGACGTATTGTATTAGCCCTACAGTTACAGCATGAAATATTATTTAAACCTTACTATTAACATTTTTACATAACATTTATTTTATCTCACAATTCTGACTTTTTTTCTCGCAAATGCAAGTTTATATCTCCTAATTCGGACTTTATAACTCGACTTAAAAATAGTGAGTTTGTCAGATCTGAGGGAATAAAGCCAGAAGAGCCGAGGGGAAAAGAGAGAATGACGAGTTGTTTTTCCCTTAATAGAATTGTGAGATATAATCTCGGAATTGCGAGAATAAAGTCAGAATTTTGAAATATAAAATCAAATTTACCTTTTTTAAAATTATTTTATTCCATGGCTCCATAGACTGCCGCTTGAAAACCGTAATTTTCTGCCACCAGATAGGCTCCGCCCACAAAAACGTCACCCCTGTTTCGGATCTGTAAGACTATCACACTCTCTAGCGTCAATTTTGTTGAATAACAGTGCTTATCGCTGGGTGACAAGCTCTTGTAATATGCTAATCAATATAATTTATAATCCGTGTAATTCTCTAGCCGTAAAGACTATCTCTCCAGGGTTTTCTGCAAACATGATGCGCGCGCATCCTGAATGTTTACAAACCTATAATTGGTCTATTGGGCGGACATTTTGGCCACCTGAGCAAAAACATTCTTTATACCAGAGCTGTACAGCGCGCACACAAAAAAAGTGTGTAACTTTGAACTTTAATGTGCTATTTGTATTTAATTTGACCCATGACTAAATGATGTACATTTTAGGTTACCGGAGAAAACACTGCCATTCAAAAGTTTGGGATCAATAATGTTTATTAAAGAAGTTTCTTATGCTCATCAAGGCTGTATCTATTTGATAAAAATACTGAATATTATTTCACAAAATAATATTGTGAAATATTGTTGCAATTTAAAATAAAAGTTTTCTATTTTATTATACTTTAAAATAGTTAGGTAAAGCTAAAATGAACTAGATGTTTCAATCCCTTTAGTAGGAAACTCTTGATAGTAGCAATCGGTGTGGATTGGTTAAAAAGTAGGGTAAGGTATGTCATTGGGGTCATCAGGTGGGCACCCTGCTTCATCAACGTTTCATTGATTGAAGCCCACAACGTCTCCAAAAGGCTCAACGGTGTACCCAGCGTCCCAGGTACACCCCCCTCCATGCTATACCCTCTATATCCCTGATGGGCTCTGCATGGCAGGGGCGTCCTTCTCCCTGAGTCGGGCCTAAGCCTGACCGCATACCATCTGTCTCTACCTTGCTGCCCAGATGGGGTCCTTACGCTTGATCCAGAGCCAGTTACTGCTTTTTTCAGCAGCACTTGATATGGACTTGATGGCCTGTTGTAGAGAGTGACCCTTCACCCCTATTTTTCTCAGCAAACTGGTGGTAGATGTTGCAACAAAACCCCTGCATCCCACCTCTACTGGGAAGATGCTAGTCTTCCAGCCGTTCTGGGATGCTTCAGCTGCCAGGTCGGAATATTTGTTCTTTTTCCTCTCATAAGCCTCTTCACCCCCCTCTTCCCATGGTACTGTTAATT